TATATATATATATATATATATATATATAGAGAGAGAGAGAGAGAGAGAGAGAGAGATACATACATATATACTATACATATATATATATATATACATATATATAGATACATATATTCATGTCTATTTATACTATCTGCATGAATTCTGAGCAACATGAAAACTTCAGGCTGCCCTTTAGATGGCTCAATAAATTCGTTTTTTTTGGCTTCGCGCCCATATAATATATACCCTGTGAAATTTTGGGATGGACATATCGAATATATTTACTAAATGTATAGATATATAAATATGCACAGCTATATAGGCATGTATGTTTATATATATACGTATATATATATATAGTATAGTATATATATATATTATATATATATGTTTGTTTGTTTGTGCCTGAATTCTGACCACGCCGGGGCAGCTTATACTCTTGCTGTAGTAGTTGGAGTAATAAGAACTCCTCTACAAAGTAATTTCTATTATTTTCTTAAAGAAGAAACAGCTGCTCTTATCCCCATCAGCTGAGCGCGAAGTAAGTAATAAGGAATAATCTGCAGATAACAAGAGCTGAGTGAAGCTACACGACGTAAAATGAAGCCAAGCGTGTCGGTGTATATTAAGCAGAAAATTGTGAATGGGAGAAAGAAAGAGAAAATCAAAAGACAAAATAATAGAAGGGAAGATTAAATATCTTTTCTGATAAAAACAAGATTTAAGCTGTAGCAGGGCCCTGATAGACACTATGCCAAGGCGGTCTGCGCGCAACAAGAGGTTAAGGAAATACAATTAATTAATTATTTATATTTTCAAGTTATCAGGGAATTATTGAATTCATTATTCCTTTTAGAGTTGGATAGATAGACAGAAACAAACAAGCAGAGCTCAACACCGCTGTCTATTATGAATGTCGAAGAAGCTGCTGGCAGTAGACTCATCTTATTACTTTGTAATTCCCTCTGTATTTTCGTTCATATTACTCTCACTATAAAAATGAAAATTAGACGCAGACAAACAGGCGTTGCAGAGCGACCTCAGCACTACCAACAACCCCTGCGTAGCCTGCGGGTCTACCAAGCCTACGTTTACGTGTATTCTCTAAATAATATGCCGATTAATTCATATAATTGGATTTGAAATAGAATAAATATATATTAAGTACACAAGAATTTGCAGAACTCAGTGAATAAGATAGAGAATTCCGCGGTGCAGCTTGTGCATATAGCAGCTCCAGGAAAGCTGCATGAGCGACGCCTCAGCGGCCCCCTATTTGAACGAGGGAGAGCTGAATGAATTGTCGATAAATTGTTATGAAAGCCATCGCAAAAGGCTCCGGTATTGTGTAACTACTGGAATTGCCTTTATTTATCTTCTGTTTCCTTCGCTTTTCCCTTCGTTTCCGCTTCTCTTCACACCGACAGCCACCATGACCCGAGGAAACCAACGTGATGTAGACCGCGAACGAGCGCAGCGTCGCAACCAGCGAGGCGTGCAGAATTCTACTTTAAAATCTCGTGAAAAAGACTGCAATGTCGTTTGCGAGATATGCAGACAAACTTTCATGTGCACGATCAAACGCCCAACCCTAGAACAGCATATAGACTCTAAGCACCCAAAAAACCAATTTCAAGATTGCTTTCCTAATTTTGAAAGCTAATAACGCTGGTTTCGAGGCGTCTTGTTGCGTTGTAGCTCAAGCAGGGCGTCGTATACCACATAATACAACAGACAACATGCAAGCCCTCCTCCTGTGGGGGCTGAAGCTATGAAGCTATCTGTATACATTGGAAACGAGGGAAGCAGCAGACGGCGAGCGCCTCGCCTCGCCATAAACACACTCCATTGAAGTTCAAGAAATTGCAGGTTCTCCTAATAGCCTGTTCTGGCGCAACAACAACTCAGGTGGTGCTCTTAGAGAAGAGCAAAAGAGGAGAGGCTGCCTTTTGCACAGTACTAACACCAGCCTAATGCCAGAATCGCGCATGAGACGGAAACCATCGCCCGCAAGAGCCCCAACTCGTTTTTTCTATGGAAGAAGGCGCATTCACAAGTATACAGCAGCAGCAGCAGCAGCAGCAGCAGTGACAACCAGCATGCAACATCATTCAGCAAGCAACAAACAGCATGCAACAGCACAACTGCAGCAGCATGCTGCTGCATGCACGCAATAGCACAGATGCAGCAGCAAAAGAATAAAGAAGACATTCAGCTGCACTGGGAGCAGCAGCAGCAGCAGGCTGGCCTTTTTTTGGTCGGCCTCTCTTGAGGCTTTTAATCTCTAAGGATGTGCAGCCAGTGACATTAGAAGTAAATATATATATTTATTTATATATATTTATGTATATGTATATTTATATTCTATACACATATCTTTATATGAATATATGTGGTGCTGCTTCCGCTCCCTTTTGCCGTCCGCTGCAATGGCGGGGCAGGGCGTTGAATTAACTTCGATTTGCGCGCGAACTTTCGTTTAAGAATTGAAATGAGAGGCATTAAAACAGACGCAAAATATTAATTTAGATATTATATAACGTGCGCACGTTTCAGCCTAGGGTGTACGTACATAGGATACAAATTAGTTACCCTAAGACGCTCTTTTTTAGTAGTGCTCGAAATATATATATATATATATATACATATATGTATTAAAAATATATGTATATATTATATATATGTTGTAGATCTATATCTATTTATCTGTATATATGTAGTCTGGTTAGCTTGTTGCTATTCTTCTGTCTTTCTGAGTATGATTGAGGTGACAATACAGCAAACTATATACTGGGGCTGTGCAATTGAAGTCCGTATATATGTAACTAATATATATACGTAGTGTATATATATATATATATATATATATATACGTAGTATGG